GAACCCCCAGAATAGCATTGGTAATTATTTCGGCCCCTATATTCGTATAGGAGACTGTCTGGGTTTAGGGTTTAACGTTTAGGTTTATTGCATCATACCCCGCATGTACAGCGGCTGTGCAGGGATACGACGACTCGGGAGGTGCAGTCACTAAGGGAATGAGATTCCCAAGTATTCAATGCAATTCTGCAGGCTTCTATTGACACTGCCAGGCGAGGACGAAAGGTGATTTGGGGTTACTTGGAGATGAAGGTTAAAGGTTCCGGGGCTTAGAGGTCGGATGTGATTGTGGGTTGTACTCATAACTACGGCGTCAGTGCTCGAAGCTCAGCAAGGGAAGTAACACCTAACAAACCCTAAACTTCCTAAACCCTAAACAGAGCAAACACTCAAACACACCCTGGACCGGATGCCACCGGGTTCGCAAGGCTGTTTGCAAGCGCTCAGCTGGCCTCCAGCAAGCGCTGTTGAAAAGCACCTTGGCCGAGAGTTCCACATCTTTAAACCTTACAGCCCCTAAGCCCAATAAAACCGCAACCTCAAACTAAGCCATCTGAAACCCCAAACTTTTACGTGTACATGAACTCCACAAGCAGCGACAAACACGGAAAGGCCCGTCGTCACTTCAAAACACTACCCTCTGAGATAACACATCGTTGAAACAAATCATCGGACTCACCGCAGCGCTGACCTATAGGCGCCTTAACATATAGCGTCGGGTATTGGGGCATAATATAGCATGTTTAGAATGAGCAAGCCTAATTATTGTCTACTGTGGTAGGACACGGACCTGATACTGGGTGTGGGGTTGTGATGTATCGTATATCTAGATATACTTAGAATAAGACAGCCTAAGGAATAGTGTTAGCAAAAGATCAGCCTTCCGTGTTCCTGGCGGACTGCCTTGCTGCAAGCAATCCTAGGGTCCTAGGCCCTAAACCCTAAACCCTAAACCGAAATCCTAGGGTCCTAGGTCCTAAACTCTATCCCGAAGCAAGCTCAGCCTGAATCACCAACAGAACTCTGCCAACAAATGGTTGCTCACGGGCCCGACAAGAAATCGCAGCATGTGGTTTGGGGTTGGGGTATAGGGTTTTGGGTTTTTCCTTGTCGCATGGCTCGGATCAATTTCTACAAGCGAGGTTTGAGGTGTAGGGTTTGGGGTTAGGGACCTGGGCAACATTCCATTGAAGAGAACCTGCGATACAAGAGAGAGGCTACAAAGGTATAAGCACACACTGTGTCGCTTGGGGACCCCTCTTGCGGCGGGCTTGCCTCGTCGCCCGGGAGCTCCCTCTGCCCAGAACGTGTTCCCAAGCAGAGCCGAACCTTCGAAACCCCTTAAACCTCATGTCAGTCGCTGCAAAAACTCGTGACACACATCAGGAGCGGCATCACACAAGAATACTATAAACAAACATGGAGTTCTGGGATCTCGAAACATAAAGAAACCTGCACTCTTAAATCCTGAACCTGTGCCCGAAGCTCAGGGCTCCTCTACGCTGCACCCGACTCCTACATGAAAGGCAGGGGCCCTAATCTTTGCAACCCGCTTTAAACCCCAACATCTGAATCCAGAAATGGCTTGTTTACACAGCAAGCTGCCAATTTTTTGGATATAAGCCCTCAAGCCTAAACCCGAATAGTTGCCTAACCGAAAATTCCCACGCCACCACTACATTCCCCCCCACAGCTGCGGCACCTGGGCTGTGCCGCGGAGTGGGTACTCTCCTTGAGGGTGCCTGTGCTGGAGTTTGATGTCGACGGAGGCATTGAATGCATTGTAATTGTGCGGGCCCTTGCTCGTATCTGAATACCAGGGAAGGGAGTTATCCAAGACTTCAGCATTTTCAAATCCCTTTTTTTGAGCAGGGACTGCAATAAATCCCTAAACCGTAAAACCTAGAATGAGGTTAGTCATCTGTCTTTTCAGGTCCGTCCCTCTTCCGCTGCAAGATCTTCCTTGAGCTTCCTCCGGGAGCACTTCTGGCCGAGGTGTGATGTGTCGAAGTCAGAAAGCGTCGAAGGCTCTGTGACTTATTGTTATTCTCGACATTATAACTGTTGGGTAGCAAAATTGTGTAGTCCGCATGCAGCGCGGGACAGCCAAGACTTACTTGCAAATCACCGGCTTACGCGGTAGAACACTTTAGATATAACTTTTAAGCTTTTTCAGGAAAATGACTTTGTTGCAACTTTTTTGGGGCTCCAAAAACAGCAAATCTCTGCAGAAGGTTGCAACACAGGCATCTTAGTTTTAACTTTTTTTGGTGTCTTTAGCACCAGGCCACTATATAACGTTGCATATGGTGTATTAATTTTTTATCCTTAGGGTTTTCGTCTTCGTTCAATGGTTCCTGCTGGATTCACTCCTTAAGGTTTTCGTCTTCGGGAACAGGCTCCTGCTTTCGCCTTGGGGAGTCACTCCCTAGGGTTCTGGTCTTGGGTTTTCACTCCTTAGGTTTTTCGTCTTCGGTCAAAGGTGCCTGCTGAATTCATTCCTTAGGGCTTTCGTCTTGGGTCAAGGGTTGCTGCTGGATTCACTCCTTAGGGTTTTCGTCTTGGGTATTCACTCCTTAGGGTTTTCATCTTGGGTTAAAGTTTCCTGATGGATTCACTCGTTAGGGTTTTGTCTTCTCCTTAGGGTTTTCGTCTTCGGTGTTCACTCTTTCGCCTGCGGGAAAAGGTTCCTGCTGGATCCACTCCGAGTCAAGAGGTCTTCTGGCTTGGGCCTCAAGCCTCTCATGCATGCTGGTCTGAATGAGCTCGTTCCCTCCTCTTACGCAGAGCCTGATTGCCGCGTTGGTTGGGTCTAAGTGGCGGGGTAGGTGGGGTAGGCGGGGCAGTGGGGGTAGGCGGGGCGAGGCACGTGCAAGTCCAGAGCGTGCATGAGGGAGTTGTGGAGTTAAGCACAGTGCACAAAATCCGAACTGTCACCGACCTTTCGATACCATAAATCTGCAGAGCTCGAGAAATTCTATTCAGATCTGCTGGAATGTCTTCTTCTAAATTCCGGGTAGGCAAGGTGGGGTACGTGGGGTAGGTGGGGTCAGTATAGGAAAAAGGCAAAAATAACATCTAAGAGAAAAAAGCTACAATTAAGCCTGCTACCCGCTTACGCCTGAGTTCTAAGCATGTACATACCAGGAGCTTTGGCGCCGACAGCGCTATGGACTCGTGCCACGAAACTACCCCAAAGAAAAAAACTCACCAACTGCTCGCCTCCTCCAGCTTCGGTGACCTCAATTGGCTTCAGTGACCAGTGTGGCTATGATCACGTGCTGCGGTTTCACGGCTTCGGCTACCATTTCCTCACGAGTTCCGCCGCCCCCATCATGTCAGTTGACTTCAAAGTACGGCTTGGGATCTTGTTGATCCCGAGATGCAGGTCTGCAAACCGTACATGCCCGACTGTGAAGTTCGCGAAACTCTAAGTTTCAGCATGGAGAAAATGAAACTGTCTTGAAATACAAAGAATCAGAACACTGTCCAGACAAACAAGAACAGCATCAACTGTCACAGAGATAGACGAGAACATAATAGAACGAGAGACCTTTAGCATAGCGGCGCTGCTGAAACAAAAACGACAGCTCTACAAGTTGCTCTAGCAATGCAACCATAAAGCTGCAAAAAGTAAACCGTAAACCCTGAGCCCCTATGTGCATGCACGCGCGGTGTGTGAGTGTGTGTGGGGGGGGGGGGGGGGCGGAGCTGATTTGTTTGAGGAGAGGTCGAGGGGGCAGGGCAAAGCGGGATTGCGAATCGGCTTTGAGAGAAGCGCAGTTCGCTTCTGAAAACCTGTGTTGTGTTGAAGGCACGGGGCTGGATCAATATCTCCCTAAGTGTACCTCGAACGGGGTTTTGCGGTGACAGCTAGAAGGCGTTATGGTGAAGAGCATATGTACGTATGCGTGTCTATACATATATATATATATATGTGTGTGTGTGTGTGTGTTTGTATGTGTATATATATATATATAAAGATTTGTCTCTGTACATGCATATGCCTGTATACGGACATAAACGCATACGTGCACACATGTCGAAAAAGTGCGCGAGAGAGGGAGAGGGAGAGAGAGAGAGAGACAGAGAGTGAGAGACTGGGAAAGAGAGAAATCGAAGCCCGAACCCCTTGCAACGGCTCATGGCTGTGAGACATGAACGAGCGATGGAGCAGGGTGGTGGATGCCATTCGCGCAGGATCCCTGGTGCACTGGGCGCCGGGCACCTGCATCGTCTGCTGCTGCCGCAGCTGCTCATGCTGCTGCTGCCGCTGTTGCTGCTGCTGCTGTTGCCGCTGTCGCTGCAGCTGCTGTTGCTGCTGCTCGGCCTCGGATATGCGTCCAGGCATCTACGCGGGAGTTCATACCGTTTCGAAGATTCAGGGGTCATGATCGGCATCCAGCCAGGTTTATATGGGAGCGTCGTCATCTTGTTTTCAATTCAAGGGTTCCAAGAAGCTTTGTGCCTGAGTGCCTCTCTTCAGCCCGATTCAAAGCCAGGCCCAGTTTGTGCTGTTGAGGCCTGAACAACTTATCACGCAGTTTCTCCAGATCCATACTGTGTGCGTATGTATATATATATATATATACACTTGTGTGTGTATAAATACAGATAGACAGATGGATAGATAGATAAATCGATAGATAGATAGATGAGTAGCTAAACGAATAGGTACACATGTGGTGTGCATATAAGTATAGATGTGCGTGTGTGAGTTTGTAGTCTGTGCTGTGTAACTAAACAGCAAGACTAACACCAACACCAATGATTGCAACAATAGAGTGAAAATACTACCAATGAAGACAAAAAAGTGCTAGCAATAGGAAAAGTAACAATATAATGGTAATTAATTGCACTAGCACCACGAATCGCAACAACACAAGTGCATACGCACGGATGTATGTTATACTATGTTGCACTATGCTGTGCTATGTTATGTCCTGCGATATGTCATGTTATGCCAAGTTTTGTGAAGTGATGTGATGTGATGCGGCGTGATGTGATATTACGTTATGTTACAATCTGAAATGTCATGTAATGTAATGTAATGTTGTGTTATGTAAACAGACACATACACTAATTTGCGCTCATAGCCCAAAGAACGCCGCAAGAATCCTAGTCTGGAAATTCGTGTCTCTTCATTCGTTGTCCGGGTCCACAAGCCCATTTCAACAAGCAGCTGCTGGATCGCATGTCCATGCTATGCCATCGTTGTAATGGTTGTAATGCTTTTGGCGCTGAAGCAAAGCCAAAGTCAGGAGGAAAACGCTGCCGCTTCCTTTCAGGACGAAGAAGGCACTGTTATATCCTATGCCATACTGTACCTGTACGGTGTTCGTTCGGTCGTAAACCCTTAAACGTCAGGGATCCCGGTTCAGAAACAAGCTCGCGACATCTCACGGCAGCTAACCTCCTCGAATGCTAAGTAGCATTCCAAGGCCCGACAACAACAAAGGATGATTCACCTATTATTTGGGTCGCTTGCGGGCTTTGATAATTGCATTTCTTTTGGGCTTGGGGCTTACGTTTAGAGGTTAGGGTGTAGGGTATCTCCTTTGGCCTTCGATTTGTAATGCTTCAGGGTCGGTTTAGTGCAGGGCTTTGCGAATGTCCGCATCGAAGCACTAGTGGTAGAACCACTGTTCGCTCAGATGGGCTGCAAGTGGTCATAGTTCGGAACGCTACTAGCCTAAACCATAAATCCCCGGAGCCCTAAACCCCATACCGGACAATCCGTTGTCATACGGACAGCAAGCTTTTCACTTTGCTCTCGGCTTGCTCCGTCTCTGATAGGCATCCTCCTCGTCTGGAGCCGCTTCTGTCAGTGGCCGGCTCTTCTCGCTAGCGGCTTCAGAGCTGAAGGGGCGGCCAAGCGAATTATAAGGCCCTAGGGCTCCAGTTACCTAAATAATAGGTTACTGGGGTACAGAATATATGGTTAGTAACCTACTATTTAGGTAACTGGAGCTCTTGGGAGGGTTGGAGGTTTGTAGATGTGTCTTTATACTTTCGGCATTCCTCTAGAAAGAACTCATGTACTCAGCTCACCGAGTACATGCGTGAGAACCTCCAGGCCACTGAAGTCTACAAGGCAACCATCACAGCCCACGCGAAGTAGAGCTTGGAAAGGACTCTCAATTTCAAGCTCCTAGAGAGGAGAGGAAGACCGCGGGATGAGCTTAGGGTTCGGGGTTTTGAGATGAGGCTTGCAGAAACAATACCGATCGTCGGCTCCATGTTGGCATAAAGAACTACCACTCAGAATAAGGGCTTTTAATATCTTTTAACGCCCATACAACCCTCACCGCAAATCAACGACAAGTCCTGAAAACAAATCTGTGCAAATGCGCCACTCAGCAATATACAAAAAACCAGGGTCTTGCGGTCGAAAAGGTTTGGCTCTTCGGCTACCAGCTGCCAAGCGACCCCTAGCAAGGTCTATCGGGCGTCAACTAATTGCGGCGTCTAACAAATCGAACAAATCCAAACCTATCCTGAACCTTTACTTGCGGTGCCTGGTATCCAGCATCTCAAGCTTGGAACGTTCGACTCTAGAGTAGTACTGCTTCCGCTCTTCCTGAGCTGAAAAGACACTAGATGGCACTAGCACATGTCTTAATGTCCAACTCAAGAGCCGGACGGATACCTCTACTTTACTGATCCCCCTCCAGGTACCTACTCTATAGGGCCTTAGCGGCTCTAGTACCCTATAGTAGGTACCTGGGGGGTTTGGGGATCTTCCGTAGTAGGAAGCAACAGTATGCGGTGGCCGATCAGCCGGCCACATCGGAAGATGTCTGCTCCGCACCAGCGAAGTGCGCCGCCAGCGCCTCTGAGCCGAAGTTACCAGTCTTCGAGAAATGGGAAATGCATGCAATGAGTAAATGAATGCACTCTATCTATCTATCTATCTATCTATCTATGTATGTATCTGTCTCTGTATCTATCTACCTGCCTGCCTATCTATCTATCTATCTATCTATCTATCTATCTTATCAATCTACCTGTATATCTATCTGCCTATCCATCCATCTATACGCAGACATACACAATTATGCACAAGCGCGCACACACAACTGTCTTTTATCTATCTATCTATCTATCTATCTATCTATCTACCCCCTATATAAGTACATACGTCATATAACAGCAGACCTACATATCTATATGCAACATGCAAGCCTGAATAATCGAAAAGTAAGCAAGGGGGCATGCGTCTTGTTGACATCGCAACAAACGGAACATGTCATCTGCGTGTGGGGACGCGGGCCCGCAGTGGTCCTTGGGGTTGGTGAGGCTCAATGCTGCCGAACCGAGAACAACAATTTCTCGCTCCGGTGCATTTCAAGGTGTGGGATCTTCAGTCAGACAGGAAGGGTTTCCTGAGTTTGGAAGCATTCAAGCCACTCAAAAATTGTAATTTGAGGGCTGCGAAAAAAGTCTATGTCCAGGCGGCAGATGAAAGGGATTGTGCGCCTGTGCAAGCATTGGCTGTGACAAATGCTTCAGTGCTGTAGCTCATTCAAGAACACTCTCCATATTTGTGCGCCAGATGTACCTCTACATGCGTATACATCTCTCCCGGCATGTGTCTGAGGAAAAGCGCATGCTTATACAGAGGCGACTGTATGGAAGCATGCCGTCTCAGACCAATAAATCTGGATTTTTTGTATATTGTATACATCTGTCCCTCTTGGGCTTTTTCACCAACAGGTGCACAGCTGTATCCACATCTGCATTTGTATTTGTGCATATCCCAATGCCTGCATGTATAGATACAGATATACAAAGGCACAAAAATACATACGTACGTACAAATTACTTCTGTACATAATTACCTGTATACATATCGTTGTAAATACATAATCAACCAACCAATCAACCAACAAAACAAACTCACAAACTCACAAACAAACAAACAAACAAAGAAAAAACACACAGGTACATGCGTAGAAACTTACGTGCGGTCTGTTCTGCATTTTGCTTATATTATTAAGTACACACACCATTTTCGGACACTGTTCACGGCTAACATATATGTCGCCTAAATACGCATTACTATCAACAAAGCCGAAACAAACACACAAACACACATTTGACTTCCACGTCACATGAGGACCAGCCGTTTAACCATGCGGGGATCTTTGATTATGCTTCATTTATCAAAGCGTCTTGGAATCTGTGGGCACGCCATGCATGCAAGTTTCAGAAAACGGTGGGCCCAAGTTAAGCTCAACAAATGTTGAAGCTTTCCTTAGATCCTAGGATAAGCCTTTTTCCACAATTTAATAACCTAGTATTTTTTGTATATGTATATATATATATAATATAGAGAAAGAGAGAGACATAGCGCTAAACCCTAAACCCGATCTATATAATACATATATGTATATATGCTTATTTATTCAGGCCTCGTACGCCTCTGCAAGGCGGCGAAACGTATCCTTTGCTGCACGCAACTAAGCGGGAGGAGCGGTTTAGGGTTTAGGGAGCTGCACCGCAATGGATAGCACATGATCGCATATCATAACTTGCCATAGTATATCACAGGATTATCTATTTCTAGTGGGGGGTTATAGGGTTTGGGGTTGTAACACTCGGGTTTAGGGTTGGGGGGGAGCTGTATTTCTGGTGGCTCCGGGCCGGGGGAGCTTCGAGGATGCTAGGGTTTGGAGGTCGAGGGCCAGGGTTTTGTTTAGGGGTTTCGTGTTTAGGGCTTAGGGTTGAGGGTCTAGGGGGTTTGGGGGTTTGGAGTTTCTAGGGTTGAGGGCTTCCAGGGTTGCGTGGTTCAGGGGCAGCAACAAAGGCTTACAGCATCACTCCTCAGAACCTTAGGGGCTCCTCGGTAATGTGGGGCCTTAACAACTAGAATAGGGTTTTGGGGAACCTGATACTATAATTATACTAAGGAACCCCAACAAGAGTCTTGATAATTCTTTGGGTCCCTCTTGTACTCATTCCAAGATCAAGTTTAAAGTTAAATGCGTCAGGAAGACATCTCGGACAGTTGATGGCAGGGTACTATAGCTTTTGTTGATTCTAGGAAGTCATCGATAGTTCCAGGATGAAGAATCTCATTAGAATTACTGTAATTGGGAAATAAGTTAAAAGGTTGAGGTGCTATGGGGTGAAAGCAAGCTGATTTTACAAAGCGGCAGTACAGCGGGCTCTAGTCGAATCATGCACCTGGGTCTCTTCTAACCCTCCACTGATGTTATCCAGACCTTCCTTTTTACCATAGTGTGCATCCTGATGAACCCTAAACCCTAAACCCTAAACCCCTAGATCCTAAACCTTAAACCCAAGACTCCGCGGCAGCTTCCGGAT